CTGCCCTCAAAAGCACCTTGGAGTCTCATTCCCACCCCAAGCCTACTAAAGAGAATCTCTGGGCAAGAGGACTCCTCTGACAAAAAATCCCCTCATGACTCTCTGATGAAGTGACTGGGAGACACTGGTTTACATTATTCCAAGTTCACTTCTGCATCAAAGAGATTATGATTCCATACTTATTGACAGTTTCTATAGAACAACCCAGAAAATATTCCAATCGTCTTGTCCAGGTCTGTAGGAAGAAGGCTACTCACTTTTTATTGTTCCTTCAGATTTTCTCTTTCTTATTCATTTTGCATATTTATTAAACATCTATCAAGTGAAAGGTTCTGCCTCAAATAAGCTGAGGAACAGAACCTTTGCCACAGGAAGTATATGGGGAGATAAGATATGTGCATGAGGAAATATTCAAGAGAGGAAATGAAAAATACCTTAAAATCTCTCCTTTCTCTCCCTATACTTTGCCTGGTGAGCAAAAGATAAAGTTAGAGGAGAAAGAGCAATCAGAATTTCTCTCCACCTCTGCAAACCCTAGTGGAACCTCACATGCAGCCCTTTTGGCCCAGAGATACACAGGGATACAGTGTTTGCCCTGTACCTTCCCAGTAGCCACTGTCCTTCCTCCTGATAGCAGCTGTTCCTCCCTCATCTTGCTCCAGAGCTCTGGGTGGGTCTCTGCCCCAGCTCTGAGGATGTAGCAGATGACACAGGTCCAGCCAATCGCAGAATGACCTAGCCCTGGCCTGAGATCAATTTAGGGATGTGCCCCTGTGCTAAGCTAGTCCAGTCAGAGCTACCCTTTCAAAAGTCCCAGGACTTTTGTGGGAGCTTCTAGGAAAAAAACTCTGGCTTTTCTTGTTGAAGGAAATGGAAGGGGGAGTAAGAACTGCTGAGGTCACTGTAGCTATCATGCCACCTAGAGGAGAGAGCCTGGGCTGCAACGGCCCACCCCAGGGAGCCCCCAGTAAACAAGGCCAAAAGAGCAGAAGGCAGAGTGGAGAGAAACCAAGTCCTAATGAGGGTCTTTGGGTCCTGAATCCAGCCGTATCTGCAGCCAGAGCTACTCCTGGACTTTTCATTTACGTGAATCCGTAAATTCTTTCTTTTTTTTTTTTTTTTTACTTAAGCCAACAGGCTTAATGGAGATGATTTTCTGTTACTTGCAGAGAGAGATTCATATCAACATAGGGACCATAAAGCATGCATTACTATGTAGTTGAAACATACATTAAGTTGTTTTCACATCTATTATTCCATGCGGGCTTCACAATGACCTTAAGAGGGAATATGGCAGCTTGGGGAGCAGAAAAGCCCTACTAAAGATCAGAAAACAATGTGTTCTGGGCCCTTTCCATTCAAAGTGTGCTCCGAGGACCACCAGCAGCAGCATCTCTTGGGACCTCGTTAGAAATACGCAATAACAGCACTACCCTAGACACACTGAATCAAAGTGCATTTTAACAACATCACCAAGTGATTTGTAGCACACTGAAGCTCGAGAAGCTCTGTTATGATGCTATCTCTGCTGCTTCTTGGCTGGGTGACTATAAGCAAATTACCTGATTTCTCAGGGTTTTTTTCACGCAGACAACAGAGATCATAATAACACATTATAACAATGCAGCTTTAGTGCAAAACCAAAACAGTACTAAGTTTTAATCATAGCTCTTCCAGTAGCTAAATACAATCCTGGGCAACTTACTGAACTTCTATTAGCTTCAGATACCTCATCTGTAAAACTGAGATAATAATAGCTGTCTAACAGGACTGATGTCAGGATTAAATAACGTATGTAAAGTGCTTGGTACATTACTTGCTCCAGAGTACCAGGACTCAATTAAAGGTATATATTATTGTTATTGTTTTACTCTTACAATTACTGCTATTATCCACCCTACACACCTCACAGGGTACAGTGAATTATGAGACTCAAAAGATAATATATGAAAAAAAATGCTTAAAGCCAAATTACTCAAAGTATAGTCCTTTCCTGATCTGTAAACTGAGGTTCACAGAGGTTAAGCAACTTTTCTAAGCTCACCAAAGCAGGAAGTGGTAGAGCCCAGGCTGACATCACCATCTTCCAATCTGGGATAGGTCACATGGTTGTCAGTGGTTCTTTGTTTATTTGCTTTTACTCCCACCAGACTGAGCTCCTCACCAGCTTGCTACTTCTACCTCCATGGCACCTGGCCCAGTTCCACCCACGGTGAGCACTCAGTGCACATTTGCTGAAAGCAAAACTCGACCATCTGACCTCTTTAACCCACGTTTTTTGCACCACCCCAAACTATCTCCCTCAGGAAGGTATTACTATGCTTTGGTACTTTAATTTAAGAAGCCGATTACTGCCTTTAATCTTAATCAGAAACTTATGACAACATCTCATTTGGAGACCAAAGTTCCACTGGGAACTTAGTGTAGAAATTCAATTCTAGCCCCGAGGGGAGAATCCAGGAGAACAGGAACTTTGGCTGGATACAGAATGGGGTGGGATCCTTACTTGTCTGAAAGAAGCAATATACTTTCATTGGTGGGGGAGGGAAGCCAAGTTCTGCCGGAAGGAGAACTGTTAGCAAAGGAACTTCAGAGGCAATGATGCAAGCAAAGCAGATTCAGGACTCTGGAAGCTGGTTGACACAGTACCCATCTACACATGGAGACTTGTCAGAATGCCAGTCCTAGCCACTGAGCCTTTGTCTTCTGAACCTTGAAGGTGGATTAAGGCCTGTGGGTCTTGGACAAAATGGATCCTAAGTCAATGTGGAACGAGCTAAAGTGAACAGGAAAATCCCTATTAAATGGAACAGTAGAAAGCACAAAATAAGAGGGTAGATTTAAACACAAATATAGCATTAATTACAAGAAATCCAAATAGAGTTGGTGCTCCAGTTAAGAGAACTCCTGCAAACCAATAAGAAGACACAATGCAAAAGAAAAGCATGGGCAGATGACTTGAAAAGAAACATCCCATCAAAGAAGATCCAGATGGAACAGCCAACAAACAGATGAAAAGGTGCTCAACCTCCATGCACAATTAGGAGGATAAAATATAAAACTGTGATAAACCGGCCAGGTGCAGTGGCTCACACCTGTAATCCCAGCACTTTGGGAGGCCGAGGTGGGTGGATCATGAGGTCAGGACATTGAGACCATCCTGGCCAACATGGTGAAACCCTGTCTCTATTAAAATACCAAAAAAAAAAAAAAAAAAAAAAAAAAGCCATGTGTGGTGGTGTATGCCTGTAGTCCCAGCTACTCCAAGGTGAGGCAGGAGAATCACTTGACCCTGGGAGGTGGAGATTGCAGTGAGCGGAGATCACACCACTGCATTCCAGTCTGATAACAGAGCAAGACTCCATCTCAAAAACAAAACAAAACAAAACAAAACTCTGATAAACCATGATACTCTCCAAGACAGGCAAAAATTTAAAAGTTGGACAAGACAATGTGTTAGTAAGAATGTAGACCACTGAAAACTCTTTTTTTTTTTTTTTTTGAGATAGAGTTTCACTCTTGTTGTCCAGGCTGGAGTGCAGCGGCACAATCTCAGCTCACTGCAACCTCCACCTCCCAGGTTCAAGCGATTCTCCTGCCTCAGCCTCCCGAGTAGCTGGGATTACAGGCGCCTGCCACCATGCCCGGCTAATTTTTGTATTTTTAGTAGAGATAGGGTTTCACCATGTTGGCCAGGCTGGTCTCCAACTCCTGACCTCATGATCTGCCCGCCTCAGCCTCCCAAAGTGCTGGGAATACAGGTGTAAGCCACCACACCCAGCCGAAAACTCTAATACACTACTAGTGGGAATATAAATGTGAGACAACTAATTTTGGAAAGAGCTTGCTGTCATCTAGGAAAGTTGAGGTAAGCATACCTTATGATGCAGCTATCTTAATCCTAGTTATGTATATACTTCTGGTTGTATGCTCAAGTGCATATATACCAGGATGACATGTTTGAGAAGGTTCAGGTTAGCCTTGTCCCTAAAACAATTCAAATGTCCATCAACAGTAGAATGGACAAACTGTATAGCCATACAATGGAAATGTATATAACAATGAAAATAAATAGACATGCCCAACAACATGGATGGCATCATGTTGAATGAAAGATGCAAGATCTGTAAGAACACAGCATGATTCCATTTATGTAAAGTTCAAAAACAGGCAAAACTAAACCATGATATTTAGGGAGGCATATACAGGTGATAGAACTACAAGGAAAAGCACAGATATGATTATTGTTGAAGTCAGGAGAGTAGACAGGGAGGGGTTGAACATGAGGAGGGACTCACAGGAGCTTCTGGGTGTGTCCATATTCTACTTCTTGACTTTGGTGGTGGTTTTATGGGGTTTATGAGATCTCACCCATTATTACTTTTTAAACCGTACAATGTATAATCAGCCATTTTTCTGTGTGTTCTGTTATACTTCACAATAAAACAAAAAAGAAGGGAAAGAAAAGAAAGAAATGTAGATCAGCTAAAACAAAAGCAAACCCTGGTTTGGAACTATCTGAATGCATTCCCGAGTTCTGACAGTAGCCAATTCAGCCAAGGGCTGCTTAGAAGGACTTCTATGAGGCTTAAGACGTAAATATGAAGGAGAGAGAAGAGAGCAAGAGATCAAGTGGGTGACACAGGAAGAAAAAGTTACTGAAGGTCTATATAGGTAGAGAAGGTTGTATTCAAGTGTTTATGCCTGGAACTCCCAGAACCTTTCCCTTCTGACTTAGTTCCCCTGTAAACATCTTCTTCTGGAAAACTTTCCTTGGCTCCCAGGTAGACTTAAGTGTCTCTTTGCACTTTGTATTTACCTCAAAAGCACTATTCTTGCCATGCTGCAATGGTTTGCCTCAAGATCCTCAAAGGCAGTGTATCATTTCTGAATCTTTTCCTATCCTCTCCTTTCCACCAGCATTTAGGTCAGTGCCTAACAAGGAGGAGAAACTCATCTGGTGCTTGTTGAATGACTGAATGAACAAGAGAATGCTTTACCTTGAGCTGCAATTCCTTGTATCTCTTGGACATCCGAATGAGCAACTTCTCACCATTGATCACAGCAGATTTTTCTTGATAATACTGGACCATGGCCTGCGCAGCTTCTGTGTAAGCCATCTCTAAAAAGGCCTAAGAAAGAAAGGAAGGACACTCATTGGACTTGAGTTTAATGGTCTTAAACAAGATTCAGTACAAGGCATGATTCCACATCTATGAAGTTCGAGAACAGACAAAACTAATCAATGGTGACAGGAGTTAGAACTGACCTTCTCTCTCAGGTGGGGATGGGGTACTGATAGAGAAGAAGCATGAGGAAACCTGACATTCTGGAAATGCTCTATATCTTTACCTGGGTGTTAACTATATGGGTGTACACACGTAACAAATTAATGGAATTGTACACATAGGATGAGTGTACATTACGCACTGTAGAGTATGTGTTTTATACCTCACTTAAAAGGAAAAAAAAAAGTCAGTATAAGGAAGAGATCTCTTTGATCCCATCTGTTCAAAGAGACCTTTTTATAAACATCACCAAAGGAGCTCATTATAAGATGGCCCTTTCCTGATCCCCAGGGTTACCAGACATTGTTCTTAATTATGTATGTCTGTCCTAGGCTACATCATGCCATAGAATCCCTCTGAGATGGGAGAGTTCACTAACCCACATTTCCCTGGAGGGGCAGTTGCATATGTGGCCTTGAGCTGATCCCTATAAAACTTGCTATTTGGTGGTGATGGTGACAGCAAGAGACACAAGCTTTGGTTATTTGAGCTCTTACTTTCCTTATAAAGACAGAAACATACTCAAAATTCAGGAACTCACAAACCCCTGGGCTTGAAGGAAGGCCATGTTATCATGAGTTACAGAAAAAGGAAAATTCCCCAATTATGTTTCCACAGCATCTTTCTTCTTTATTTAACTGCTCTGATAAAACACAGAGAAGTGGGCTTTTCCACTCAATCTGTGTCTACTGAGAGTTCCAAAGAGACTATCTTGACTGTGCATCAGTTTACCCCAGTAGCTGGTGTGGTGAATTTGTTGCTGCTATTGTTTCTTGGATTTGTTTGGTTTGTACTATACTGACAATATACTGATCCTGATTCCTCAGTGCTACAGGGGAAAAGGGGTCAGTGACAGGGAAGCCCTCACTGTGAGCCCCTAACTCTCTCATTTCCTTAAACTAAATGGTCTAAACAAGCTCATTCCCTTCCTTCTCTCATATTTATTTCTGAATTTGAGATGCACGGCTTTTCTCCATGCTGTCATAGTCTATGACATTAGCGTGGGCGACTAAGAAGTCAAGATTCTTTAGGGTTTTATTTCACATTCTGCCACCCAGCTTTCTAAGTGCCTCTTTCTTGATAAACATTTTAGCACCTCTAGCTCTCACTTGTCAAATGGGAATAATACTAATCTAAGGACTCTCACTACATCAATGTTACAAGCTGAATTCTGTGCATTTACCCAAAATAGAATTTCTGAGAAGTAGGAACAGAGACAAGTGAGTAGTCTCACTGCAGGTTGATGGAGAGAGATAGCTGATGACCTGATGTGGCTATGAGTCTCCAAAGTTCAGTCTTCTTTAAGAAAAGAATTTTTCCTATTCCTGTTCCTCTGATTAATAAAGTAAAAATATTCATTAAAAGATAAAATATTCTGATTTTTGACTGTTGGGAGTATAAACTCCCCACCTGACTTTAGAAATGAAGACAAAGGTACTCCATCCCAAAGGGCTCAGTCAACTCCTACAGGTTAAGGATTCTTAGTTCCTTAGATTTACTAAGCATCCATCCATTCTTACACTCCTACTCTCCTGCTGACATCAAGGACTAGGAAAAATACCTAGTCCCAGGTTCTTGGCTGGCTGCAAATCCAGGTCATAAGATAGGATAGGCTTAGAAGATAAGACTATAGCATTAGCTCAGGGGGTTGACAACACAGTGAAGAGATTAAAGTCCATAGATTTTTATTTTGGGTGTGCCAATTACCCTTTCTATGTGAATGAGCACCTCATTCCAAAGCACCTCCTCTCACCTCTAGGCAATTCACAAAGGCCTGTATCCATCACTAGAAGGATAGAGTGAAACTAGGGGAAACAAAAAAACATCAGCAGCAAAAACGTCTATGCTATGCCAACAGAAGGCCAGCTATGCATCAGCTTTTTGTGTTAAGAATGGCTTCTTTCAAAGATTATGTTGTTCCCTTTCACTAATGTGTGGTATTACACTGGAGTGAAAATACCCAGACCTACCTGATTAGTCGACTTCATGAGGATGTAATTGGTGACCTTTCCGAAGGGCAGCCCCAGGTTAATGACGTCATTCTCAGTGCAGCTTCCTTCAGGGAGATTGCAGATGTGCACCACGCGGCCAGCCCCTTTCCGCTGTGCAAACTAATAGCAACAAGGATCAGTCGTGGTCTTCAGAAGACGGTTCCCTTTTCCCCTCTCTTCTAGACATTCCTAATGGCTATCTTTCCCCCAAACAATGATTGTAAAACTATAATTTACAAAATTAATGCAGAAAAAATCCATTCACAGACACACATAAAATATCAATTGTATTCTATCTCTTTACAAAAGGATTCATAATATATATATGTTTTTGAGATGGGGTCTAACTCCCCTCACCCAGGCTAGAGGGCAGTAGTGCAAACACGGTTTACTGCAGCCTTGACTTCTGGACTCAGGTGATTCTCCCATCTCAGCCTCCCAAGTAGCTGGGACCACAGACGTCCACCACCATGTCACAGTAATGTTTTTGTTTTGTTTTGTTTTGTTTTTTGAGACAGAGTCTCGCTCTGTCGGGCCCAGCCTGGAGTGAAGTGGCGCAATCTCAGCTCACTGCAAACTCCGCCTCCCGGGTTCACGCCATTCTCCTGCCTTAGCCTCCCCAGCAGCTGGGACTACAGGCGCCCACCACCCGGCTAATTTTTTTTGTATATTTAGTAGAGACGGGGTTTCACCGTGTTAGCCAGGATGATCTCGATCTCTTGACCTCGTGATCTGCCCACCTCGGCCTCCCATAGTGTTGGAATTACAGGCGTGAGCCCCGCACCTGGCAATAATGTTTTTTATAAGCAGTAACAACCAGGGCTGTGGAGGATATGAGGAAATGAGCATATCCGTGTGTTGCTAGTGGGAGGTTGAGTATCTATAAACTTTTGAGAATACACTTTAGCAATATTAAATAAAACAAAGTATACAGAGCCCATGATCCTGCCATTCCACTCTTAGAACGGTACCCTATAGAAATAATAGCACCCCAATATGTGATGGTTCATGTGCAAGAACATTTATTACAGTAATTTATTAGGTGGCAAAAAATTTTGGGAACAGCCTGAATGTCCAACAATAGGGAAATGTTTGAGTAAATGATGGTTCAATCATACAATGGAAAACTACAAACCGATGACAAGAAGGAGGTAAATGTGCTGATATAGGATAATTTTTTTAAGAAGTCAGAATCTTGCTGGACCACTCAGACTAGAATGCAGTGGCACAATCATAGCTTACTGCAGCCTTGAACTCCTAGACTCAAGCCATCCTCCTGACTCGGCCTCCCGAATAGCTGGGACTACTGATGGCTTGAGCCATCACACCCAGCTAATTTTTTTATTTTTATTTTTTGTATAAACAGGGTCTTGCTCTATTGCTTGGGCTAGTCTCGAAATCCTGACCTCAAGTGATTCTCTCACCTTAGTGATATGGAATACTTTTTAAGACAGATTGTTAAGTTAAAAGCAGGTTACCAAGTGGTATGTGTACCATGATGCCATTTTTGGAAAACAAAACAAAAATATATGAAAAAAGATGAAGCAAGTGTTGTAAAATTTTGATAATTACTGGAATTGGGTGATGGGTATAGAATGATTAATTATACTGGTCTCTACTGTTCTGTATGTTTAAAATTTTTTGCAATAAAAAATGCTTAAAGAATGTCAGCACAAACAGACAAAGATGTGGAGCATACATATCAACCTGTTGGTGCTGGTTATCTTCAGAGGAAGGCAGTAAGATGAGACAAGCTGAACCTTCTTCATATATACCTCATATTGTTTGACTTACAATTCCAATAAAGAAAAAAGAACATAGAAAAGTTTATGAGAATCTAATATATATGCATTGACATTCACAGCAACAACCTGTGGTTTAGGGCAGTGGTTTTCAAAATATTTTCAGCTTGGAATCCTTTCTTCAAATAAAACTGGTTTATACCAATGTATTCAACAAGTAAAAGAGCTATTCTGGTCAAACCTTGGGGTCTGGCACCCTGGCACCACCCCCACCTGGCACTCTCAAAGGCACCTCTAAGGAATACAGTTTGGAAGCCACCATTTGGCCCTAATCAAAGCTCCTGGAGGGCGGAAGTGTGTCTGTCTGTTTTGTGCAAACCTTAATCAGCCTAGAATCTCTGGGAGGGTCAAGAATTAGTAACCATAAGCCAACCCAACGTGGAAGAGAAGGATATAATTTTCCAAACCTGAAACACATTCTAATAGCATAGTCTCCATTTGCATAATCACAATTTTCTATGTTAAACTGAACTTCAACATCTAATTACATTTGATGTGGGTCCGACTCTGCTAAGGTAATATAGGGGGAAAGTCTAAGATATCATCCCTAACAAGGGCTAATACTTGGGTAATTCTACCATGAAAAGCCCTCGTTTGTCTCATTTGAGCTGAAAACAATTACAGTCCATAAGAATTTCCTTTTATGGTTTAGCCCTGAATTGTAGAAGCCCAAGTGCCTCTTTCCGACCTCCCACTCTGCAATGTCCAGAGGTCAAGCTCTTTCCCAAAGGGGAGCAAGGATTCAGGCAGCTCCCAGAGCAGCTCCTCATCTCCCTAAAGTGCAAACGCACTCTCCATCAGCTAGGAGACTTTGAGTCTGAGCCTGGCTAGTGAGGACTGAACCCTTCTGCAGAGATGAAAGGAGGAGTGCTATTAAGAAGCAGAATCTTTGCCTCCCATTAGTGTGAGTGTTCACATAAAGATGCAGACACAGCTGAGCTTTCAAGCAGGGCAGAGTGGCTGGTCCTCTGAGCTTATCACAAGGAGGGCTGAGGCTGGGCGCTCTGCCTGGTCTCCTCTTAGCGAGGCACGTTTCTGCCCCATGTGACTTCGCTGTGCTTGGCCTGTGCTAATGCGTGCTTGGACAACGGAGCAGACACCCAAGGCAGTTCCGGGCCTATCCTGCTCCTGGCCCATCCAGTTGCCTAGTGAACAGGCATGAGGGCCAGTGCCTCTCTCATTGTCTCCTCCAGACTGAAAGGACAACTTGAGAGGCTTTTATTGGAACACAGCACAGCAACTGCGGCTGCTGGGTAGTAGAAAAAACAACCTCGCAGCTGCCGGTCACCAGAGAGAAGTATTCATGCTGTAGATGTCGTTACCAAAGGCACTAAAGGTCGCAATTAAAATTTCCACTCAAATTTTAAAAAGACATCTGAGTTCTTTCTCTTCCAAGATTTTAATCAGAAATAGGAGCCGGATTTTACCAATTTCCTTGTCATTCATTAAGATACGAATGAGATTTTTAGTATTCTTCCAGATAATAGTAATATGGAGCTTTCCAATTATGAGCTACATCAACTGCAAATGGTCATGGGAGTGCCAAGATATTGATCCCTCAGGCTGAAGGCCAAGTTCCTCCAGTAACCATGAACAGCTTCTTCAGTTAAACCATTTACTTCAGCAGATTATTTTCTAAGTGAGCCATGAAATGAAAATCTTGAGAATCTCTGGGTTAATAGTTTGCTTTTGTGTGGTGTCTGGCTTCAGGGCATGTGGTAAATCCTATCCAGTTAGAAAGATAAATTAATTTTTATGTGTTCTATTCTTTTGCCAACATTTTATTTAGGATGCTTCATCAAGTTCTTTTCTGCCATTGATCTGAAATATCTTTTGGTTGTTGTTAAATTCCATTTAGGTTCAAAACCATCTATAATTCATACGAGATGTAGAATAATAAGTATTATCACTCTATTCTACTCTTATTACACTTTACATAAACATTGCTATTATTTGCCCTATGCCCTGTGGGAGATCTGAATGATGAGGGAAAAAGGGATGGAGCTAGGGAGGAAAGTGAGAAGGGAAACAGGGGGAGTGAGGTCCCTGAGTGGTACACCAAAAGTACAGTTTGTACATCAGAGGCACTGGCAAATCCTGAGTGCCCTTGAGCAAGCGTCACCATGCTGTGCAGTAATTCTCAACCTGGGCTCTCTTATAAGCCCTTAAAGGTCTTTGAAGGTAATAATACTACAGGAAGCAGGGGGCTAAACATTATTTTTGACATTGAAAAATGCGAGTTGAGATCATACTTTGAGTTTCTTTATCGATATGGTAATCTGGTGTTAAATTCAATTAGGCCTGAGGATGCCTCCATACTTTGAGTTCTTATGTAAGGAACTGCAGTTTAGCACATCAACTAGGTGAAAGCCTGAAGTAGTGTACTTTTGTAACAAATAGCTGAGTCTCAGCCAATCACAGCAGCCAAGCTTCAGTTAATCACAGGCAGCCGACTGATCAGACCATGTTCAAATTAGGCAAATACGGAGCTGTAACCAATCAAGCTGTTTCTGTACCTTGCTTCGGTTTTCTGTCCATAAATGCTGCCTGCCCACGTGGTGCAGCGGAGCTCTCTGAATCTCTTCTGGTTCTGAGGGCTGCCCAATTAAATTAAACTCTGTTAAATGTGATTCATTTAAAATTTGTCTTTTAACACTAGTTAGCTCTTAGGCTAATCAGAAAGTCTAATTGGTGTGTCTCTGTCTTTGATTAATAAAAATGGGTCACTAGTTACTTATTAATACAAGTACTTTGGCAGACAAAATCTTTCCAAATCTGAAAATGTGGGACAGTGGCTGCTTGGGGTGGAAGTAAATAATGAAAGGGGACTTGAGCTATAAAGAGCTTGGAACTTTCCAGTGGAAAGAACATCCTGCTAGAAAACAGAGGACCTGGGTTCAATCCCCAGCTCAGCTACTGATTAGGTGCATGAGAGAGACAAACTAATTTCCTTTTCTGAGCCTTAGTTTCCCCATGTCTGGAATGAGGGAGGTGACCTATAGGTCTAAAGTCCTTTCCAGATGTAAAAAATATATATGCTTATGTGGCTCTAAGTTCTAAAATTCTACTCCTCCCAGACGCCTTGACAAGCTAAACCCCAAGAACCAGGATAATGATAGCTTTCTCCAACTGTGCTCAGCATAAACAGGAAACCCATGTCTTTCCCACTCCCTGTCCCAATGAATGTAATGTTTGTCCTCTCTCTCCATGTAATCGGCTGTTTAACGATGCATCCATTCCCAAGCATGTTCATCTTTCAGACATGTTTGTCTGCATTAGTAGTGGTCTCCTCTTTATAGGACTGAAGATAAGCTCCAA